CATGAGCCCTTAGGCTGCTGCTTTATAAATCAACCCATTAGTGCCTAAAAAAAGTTGATGCTGCATATGTCTAAGGATTCGTTCACACCAATATGTTTTTTTTAGTGCTTTTTGCAGAAACTCACTACAGTCCATTTAACATAGTTTCCTATGGAACATGTTCACAGCTTTTTTGAGCTGCTTCGTTTTTTGGAGAGGGTCAGGCACTTTTTTAAAAGCAAAAAGCAGCATTTTTGCTACAATGGAGTTCAATGGAGAATCTGCTGAAATGCATGATAGTGCGTTTTTTTTTTACGCGATTTAGCAACGTTTTGCATTTTTTTATTCTAACCAACAAAAAAAGAAGAGCTGAACAAAACGTGGCAAAAACACATGTAGAAAAACACCAAACGAACTAAAAGCACTGCAAAATGGACAAAAAGCAAACTGCATAGGGATGAACAGAGCCTTAGCGTTAGGTGAAACCTATTCTGGAAGAAATATATTGGCTGCTAATGCTGACCATTTCTGAAAAGGTTAGATGCTACTCTAGTGAAGTCAGAACTCCTAATGCTTGTTTGGTGTTAATGATTGGGAAAGTATTGAGACTACTGGATCGGCAGCCAAGCAAAGAGCATTTTCATCTGGAAATGCAGTCTTTGTACTTCTCAGATTTCCTTTAAAGAGACCATGTTAGCAACTTAGAAATTTGCAGGTAAAACCACAGAAAAATCAAGTATTTTAAATGATCACTTGCAGTGTTTTCCTTTCCATTAATTATTTTTTAATTACTTTAGATGTGCCTTTGAACTTGCTAGAAAGTATGACTAATCCATTCCTTAGCATGGTCTTCTTGCATTTTAAGGACCTCTCCTCCCTTCTGCTGGAAGGGTCTAATTACTGTCTCTGCTGGCCCAGCTACACTGCCCCTCCCCTCACCTCTCTACATAACTTTTATGTAGCTTTTGGGGGAGGAGCGAAGCTGAATACTATAGTGTGCTACTTGAGTGACAGCTGTGAGTCTGCTGCGGCTGCTGACATCACATCCAAGATGGCTTTTGGATATGTACCCAATGGAGGCTTTTACAGGGTAATAATAAGCCTAAAATATGTTAAACACACATATAATATAATGAGAATATTTTTGTTAAAATGGGATAGTCTGGTGACAGGATCTTTTTGATATACACATAGAGATTACTTAAAGCAGAGCTCCACCCAAAAGGGGAAGTTCCACTTTAACGCCTCGTTCCCCGCTCCCCATTATGGATTGGCACCTCTGGGGAGCAGAAGACTGCGGGACAGTTCACAATGAGCAGTGCTGCTGGTACATGCGCAGTGGGCCCCCAGCTATGAACTCGCAAGCTGTCACAGTCAGGTGCCCACACTTAAGATGCTGGTGCTGGGGTCAGAGAACGGTGAACCCGACTACGGTGCACACACCACTGGATTAAGGGACAGGTGAGTGGCTGTTTTTAAAAAGTTAGCAGCTACAGTTTTTGTACCAGAAACTGGAGAATTCCAGGTATGGGTACTTTATACATACTGTAGGTATGTTGGTCCAGCTTGGACCAATGTAACTATGTACAGTCAGGTCCATAAATATTGGGACATGGACACAATTCTAACATTTTTGGCTTTATACACCACCACAATGGATTTGAAATGAAACAAACAAGATGTGCTTTAACTGCAGACTGTCAGCTTTAATTTGAGGGTATTTACATCCAAATCAGGTGAACGGTGTAGGAATTACAACAGTTTGCATATGTGCCTCCCACTTGTTAAGGGACCAAACGTAATGGGACAGAATAATAATCATAAATCAAACTTTCACTTTTTAATACTTGGTTGCAAATCCTTTGCAGTCAATTACAGCCTGAAGTCTGGAACGCATAGACATCACCAGACGCTGGGTTTCATCCCTGGTGATGCTCTGCCAGGCCTCTACTGCAACTGTCTTCAGTTCCTGCTTGTTCTTGGGGCATTTTCCCTTCAGTTTTGTCTTCAGCAAGTGAAATTCATGCTCAATCGGATTCAGGTCAGGTGATTGACTTGGCCATTGCATAACATTCCACTTCTTTCCCTTAGAAAACTCTCTGGTTGCTTTTGCAGTATGCTTTCGGTCATTGTCCATCTGCACTGTGAAGCGGCGTCCAATGAGTTCTGAAGCATTTGGCTGAATATGAGCAGATAATATTGCCCGAAACACTTCAGAATTCATCCGGCTGCTTTTGTCAGCAGTCACATCATCAATAAATATAGGAGAACCAGTTCCATTGGCAGCCATACATGCCCACGCCATGACACTACCACCACCATGCTTCACTGATGAGGTGGTATGCTTAGGATCATGAGCAGTTGCTTTCCTTCTCCTTATTCTTCTCTTCCCATCACTCTGGTACAAGTTGATCTTGGTCTCATCTGTCCATAGGATGTTGTTCCAGAACTGTGAAGGCTTTTTTAGATGTTGTTTGGCAAACTCTAATCTGGCCTTCCTGTTTTTGAGGCTCACCAATGGTTTACATCTTGTGGTGAACCTTCTGAATTCACTCTGGTGAAGTCTTCTCTTGATTGTTGACTTTGACACACATACACCTACCTCCTGGAGAGTGTTCTTGATCTGGCCAACTGTTGTGAAGGGTGTTTTCTTCACCAGGGAAAGAATTCTTCGGTCATCCACCACAATTGTTTTCCGTGGTCTTCCGGTTCTTTTGGTGTTGCTGAGCTCACTGCTGCGTTCCTTCTTTTTAAGAATGTTCCAAACAGTTGTTTTGGCCACACCTAATGTTTTTGCTATCTCTCTGATGGGTTTGTTTTGTTTTTTCATCCTAATGATGGCTTGCTTCACTGATAGTGACAGCTTTTTGGATCTCATCTTGAGAGTTGACAGCAACAGATTACAAATGCAAATAGCACACTTAAAATGAACTCTGGACCTTTTATCTGCTCATTGTAATTGGGATAATGAGGGAATAACACACACCTGACCATGGAACAGCTGAGAAACCAATTGTCCCATTACTTTTGGTCCATTAGCAAGTGGGAGGCACATATACAAACTGTTGTAATTCCTACACCGTTCACCTGATTTGGATGTTAATACCCTCAAATTAAAGCTGTCAGTCTGCAGTTAAAGCACATCTTGTTCATTTCATTTCAAATCCATTGTGGTGGTATATAGAGCCAAAAATGCTAGAATTGTGTCAATGTCCCAATATTTATGGACCTGACTGTATATACCATACCTGGACAATGCCCCTGGAAGCTTGAAACCACTGAAATAGTCACCACTACTCAAGAGATCGCCACTTGCTTCTGGTCCTGTGCTTAGTGGCTGACCTGTTGCATTCTGAATACAAGAGGTCGGGCACTTGGCATTGACATTCATTGAGTGCTTTGCATTTTCTGAATGAATGAATGAATGCAAAGAGCTGTCTCATTGGACAAGGTGGAGAGGTGGGGCAGTACCATCATACACTCCACCTCATATAATTAAAGATTGTTGTGTTTTCATTCAGAAAATGAAGCATTTTCATTCAGAAAGCATTTTCTGAATGGTGCCCATGCTGAGCAGCCAACCCCGTGTTCACAATGCAACAGGCCAACCGCTCAGCACAGGACCTGGAGGCAAGTGGTGATCATTAGGGTAGCAGTGTCTACTTCAATGATTTCCAGCTTCCAGGTACATTGGCCAGGTATGGTATAGCCATAGATATATTGATCCAAGCTGGACCAATGTAGCTACAGTTAAAATATCCATACCTGGAACTTCTCATTAGGCTAGGTTTATATTTAAGCAGGTCGGGAACATGGACATAATTGTACAGAAACGTGCTGCTCTTTAGCAGATGCCATTAATTCTTAAAGCAGAACTAAACCCTCCTATACTTTTCAGTTAGGGAAACTGCCATCTTAGCCTCTGTTTGATCTGTAACTGTCACGTTGCTGCACATGTGATCCGTTATGATATCAGCTATGATTTCATGGTTTGACAGTTTGGTTGAGAGTGTTACAGTTATCATTCCCGACATGATTGTAATTTGAATGTAACTAGTTTTTTTTAAACTGTTAGACCTTGTTCACACACCATACCAGCAGAAAAACTGATGGAAACTGACGTGCAGAATTCACTTGCAGAGACATCAGTTTACATCAGTTTTCATGAGCGCTCCAATGAGTTTTATATACGTTGCAGATTCCTGCGCAGAAAAAATCTGCACATGATACTAGTGTTGTGGTGTGAACAGGACACATAGAGAACAATTGATTTTGTTGTTCCCTTGCAGAATGTGTGCAGAAAAACTGATGTCTCTGTACCATGGTGTGAACAAGTCCTTAACCACTTGCCTACCAGGCACTTATACCCCCTTATTTACCAGGCCAATTTTCAGCTTTCAGCGCTGCTGCACTTTGACAATTGCGCGGTCATGCAACAGTGTACCCATATGAAATTTTGATCATTTTTTTCTCACAAATAGAGCTTTCTTTTGGTGGTATTTAATTGCTGCTGGGCGCTTTACTTTTTGCGCTATAAATAAAAAAATTGCAAAAATTTGAAAAAAAAGTTTCTTTGTTTCTATTATAAAATTTTTCAAACAGGTATTTTTTCTCCTTCGCTGATGTACGTTGATGAGGCAGCACTGATGGGCACTGATAGGCAGCACTAAAGGGCACTGATAGGCAGTACTAATGAGGTGGCACAGATAGGCGGCACTGATAGACAGCACTAATGAGGTGTCACGGATAGGCGGCACTAATATGCAGCACTGATAGGCGGCACTGATAGGTGACACTGATGATGGGTACCGATAGACGGCACTGACTGGCATCACTGCTGGGCACTGACTGGCGGCACTGACTGGCACAACCCCTGGGCACTGACTGGTGGGCACTGGTGGGCAGCAGCACTGGTGGTGGGTGGCACAGGTGGATGGGCACAGGTGGGTGGCACTGCTGGCACAGGTAGGTGGCACTTCTGGGCACAGGTGTGTGACACTGCAGAGTGGCACAGGTGGGTGCACTGCTGGGCACAGGTGGGTGATCTGCTGGGCACAGGTGGGCGGGGCTAGTGGGCGCACTGCTGGGCACAGGTGGGCGGAACTTGCGGGTGGTACTGCTGGGCACCGCATCAGGGCACTGATGATCAGTGCCCTGATGATCGGTGCCGATCCCCGCTCTGACAACTGCCGGTTCTCGGCAGTACTTTCCTCACGATCTGACAGCGTGAGGAAAGTGCAGCCGAGAACCGGCACTTGCATTTCCCTCTGATCAGTGTGCCATTGGACACCGCTGATCACGTGGTAAAAGGCCGCTGTGATTGGCCTTTTACCACATCACATGATCAGCTGTGTCCGTAGGACACAGCGATCACGGAGATCGCCGGGTGTGTGCCCCCTGGGGAGCGCAGGAGAGCGCGTTCTGGGAGGCCGTCATATGACGTCCACTCAGAACTGGCCGGCCGCAGTGCAGCCGTCATTCGGCTATCTGCGGTCGGCAACTAGTTAAAGTGGTAGTAAAGTGCGTTTTTTTTTTGTTTTTTTTTTTTTTTTTTTTTTTTTTTTTACTTTTACTTACAGGTAAGCTTATAATAAAGCACCATTTAGGAGATATTCCAGAGAGAAACAGCTGGAGACAACACCGGCGCATGCTCTCTGAAGAACGGCATACCTATGCTGTGTGCCGTGCCTGGGGCTCCTGAGCGCATGAGCAGAAGTAATGTCATCGCAGCTCGGCCAGTCAGATTGCTGGAGCCTGGGAAGGAAGACCAGGTGAAGATGGAAGCTCTGTCAGTAGTGAGAGAGCACTGCTTAAAGCAGAGCTCCACCCAAAAGGGGAAGTTCCGCTTTAATGCTTTGTCCCTCGCTCTCCATTAAGGATTGGCAGCTTTGTCAATCACGACGTTGCCATCCATCGAAATAGCGGCTTGTAGTACTCTACAAACGGCTCTTGAAACAACATTACAGCAGGCAATAGCATTCATTGAGTGGCCCCGTGCTCTGCCTTGCATTATATTACGGATGGTGTCTGTTTTGAGCTTGTACAGGACTCTGCTGCTGAGATGATACTGCCATCTTGTGTTTAATCAGTACATCACTGGATCTTCATCATACCTGCTGCAAAATACACCTCCGGAACGTGAGTGTATTACATATGTTTTAATTGATGAATAAACGTATATAAGGATAAAGCACTATGGCAAGTTCTTTTTAATGAGGAAAATGGCTGATACAAAGACGCTCATCTGGAGGGAGCTTAATTTGGAGTCCTTATTCAGCAAGCTGATCTTCTGAGTCCATATGGGACCAAAAGTGCGGTTAGACCGTAACACTGTATAATGTGAGGTCACACTGCGTGAGGTGAACAGATATATGGTGCAGGAGGTCTTTGCACGAGAATTGATGACAGATGCACATATTTTTCGTTATCCAAAGGAGGGTTCACTGAATGAACACTTTATTTATTGAACTTGATTTTTTTAATGACCTTTGATTCATACTTAAAATATTCTATATTTTTTATTTTTTGTGTGGGTTTTGTATATATGTATATGTGTGTGTGTGTTTGTGTGTTGTGTGTGTGTGTGTGTGTGTGTTGTGTGTGTGTGGTGTGTGTATGTGTATATATATATATATATATATATATATATATATATATATATATTTTTTTTTTTTTTTTTTTTTTTTAATATTAATAATTTTCTACTATTTTTTTCTTCTAATATATATTTATTTCTTCACTTTGCTTCTTGGTTATATAATGTTTTATACCATTGTTTCATGTAGCGCAGCATTATTTCACTTCAGATTATGATTGTATAATTTTCCCCACTGAGACATGGGTTGTGTGCACTAGCGGCTAAAGCATTTAATTGTAATTTTTTGTTTTTATTTCACCATAGTTAGCTCTTGAGTTATTCAATGTATTTTAGAGCTGCTCAAGCATAGCACACTACACAAATTAAGAAATGCAGAATCTAATGGAACTCCAGCGCATGCACAGGAGTGATGTCAGTGGCCGGGGATCAAGATCCGAACTAGAAGATCTCAGTGTCTGGCAGGAAGTTCTGGGGATGCTGCATTGCTGGATTTGAGGTGAGTAGAGTTCTGCTTAACATTGATGAATTTCGTTCTGCTTTAATGGCAGCCCCATGCATCAGCACGTGCACCTGCCTTTTTAACCTCTTCACGCCAGCTGCACACAAATGTGTGGCCTCCCGGCATCTGGGCCTAGACGCTGACCGCACATTTGCGGTCAATTTAAAAAAAACATATGTGCTGAGAATGTGCACCTTGCGCGCTCCCATCCCAACACACATGTTTTGTACTCACGAAAGGTCCCGGTCTTCTCTTTTGATCGGGACCTTTCCCGATCATGTGACCGCCATGACGACGATGGTCACATGATCCCTAAACCCCGCCCCGACCAACCCCCCTCCCGGCTTCTGAAACTCATAAAGGGCCGTGAGGCGCTGGCGTGAAGGGGTTAAAAAAGGGTTGGGGATTTCTTTCCCTGCCTTTCTCACTGATATAGCAGCCCATTCAAATGAATGGACTGCTGTACCCACGATCTGCACGTGCAAACCTCCACCTAAAGCAGAGTTCTAGTCTTGTGTTTATTAAAAGTCTGTTAAAAAAAAAACAAACAAAAAAAAACTGAAGCTGGTGACTTTTAAGGCTTCATGTACACGAGCAGCTCCTAAACTCAAGTTTAGGAGCTTTTGGCATTTTTTTGCCAAAGCTCCTAAACTCAACTCCATAAAGCCTATGTGTCCATGTACACAGGCTTTTAGCAGAGTTTAGGAGCTGCTCCGTTTAGGTGAGGTTAAACCTCCCTCTCCTGAACGCATAAGAATTGTGTTCAGGATAGGAAAGTTTTGACCGCCGGTCATGGGAAAATCCAAAACGCTGCAAAACCATGGCAAAATCACAGTACCGCGGTTTCCCGAGATTTGCGTTTTCCTGCAACTGGCTGTCGGGGTAGGTTTGTGTACATGGAACCTAATAAACACACACTCACCTGTCCCAGAGTCCAGTGATGTGCTGTCCCTTCTCTGCCTCTTCTTTCCTCGGTGCAGCATCTCAACTGTGGGCACCAGCCTGTGACAGCTTGCAGCTTCACAGCCGGGTGCCCACTGCGCATGCGCAAGTTGCGCTGCGCATTCTGATACGTCCAGCAGTCTTCTGGGAGCTGTGAAGGTTCCCAGGAGACTGCAGAAGGAAGGAGGGGACCAAACTTCTGGCTCACTTCGCTGCGGCAAAGTGAGCCAGACGTGGGAGTGGGTACCTGTCAAAAACAGGTATCTGCTCCCCCCCAAAAGGCGCCAAATATGGCAGTGGAGGAGACAACCAAGCTGAGCTTCCACTTTTGAGTGGAACTCCGCTTAACCCTAGGTTCACACGTATGCATGTTGCATTTGAGCCATTTCTGCATTGCGTTCTGCACTTGCATCTATTACACATTTTTGCCACATTTAGCGTTTTTTTTTTTTTTCTTAATTTTTAACCACTTGCCTACAGGGCACTTATTCCCCCTTCCTGCCCAGGCCAATTTTTCAGCTTTCAGCTCTGTCGCACTTTGAATGACAATTGCGCGGTCATGCAACACTGTACCCATATGAAATTTTTATCATTTTTTTGAGAAAGATAGAGCTTTCTTTTGGTGGCATTTAATCACCTCTGGATTTTTTTTATTTTTTGCTAAACAAACCAAAAACAACTGAAAATTTTGAACAAAAAAAAATGTTTTTCTTAGTTTTTGTTATAAAATTTTGTAAATAAGTGATTTCTCTCCTTCATTGATGTGCGCTAATGAGGCTGCAGTGATGGGCACTGATAGGTGCACTGATAGGAGGCACTGATAGGTTGCACTGATGGGCACTGGTAGGCATGCACTGTTGGGCATTGATAGACATACTGATTGGTGGCACTGATAAGCAGCACTGATAGGTGGCACTGTTAGGAGGCACTGATAGGCAGCACTGATGCACACTGATAGGTGGCACTGAAAGGCAGTTCAGCTGGGCACTGATATCTGGCATTGATGTGGCACTGATGGGCACTGGCAGGTGGCATTGATAAGCACTGACAGCTGGCATTGATGGACACTGACAGGTGGCACTACTGGGGCTACACTGATCATCAGGGCACACTGATCATCAGTGCCCTGATCATCAGTGTACATGTCCCCTCTGAGGGATGCCGATTACCGGCTCTCCTCTCGAGCTGTCAGCGTGACTGCTCATGAGGAGAGAAATGCTGATAACCGGCATTTCCCTATTTACATTCAATCAGCTGGAATTGGATACAGCTGATCACATGACCGAGCTGACATCTTCGGCTCTTTCCGTTGATCTGCTGTGTCCGAGGGACACAGCACACCAGATCTCCCAGAATGAGAGATCTGCCTTGCGCCCGTCATTACCTTATATGGCGGGTGGGAGGCGGTTAAAAAAAGTTTCTTGTTGCTAGGCAGATTTAAAATGCAAAATGCAGCAAAATAGATGCTTTTCTGCAGCATTTCCATTTAAAGACTATAAAACAGAAAACGCAACTTTTTGTGTTCAAAAAAGTCCCTGACCCTTTCCAAAAAATGCACGGGGGGAAAACGCACAGGTGTGAACATGTACCATAGGAAATCATGTTGAATGGACTGTAATGCATTTCTGCAAAACACTGCATACAACACTTATCTGTGAACCTAGGGTAAGCATTTTCCGCTAACGAACTACAGTCCATTTAACATGGTTTCCTATGGGACATGTTCACACCTGTGCATTTTCACCCCGAGCGTTTTTTGGAAAGGGTCAGGGACTTTTTTTTTACCGCAAAATGTTGCATTTTTTGTTCTATAGACTTCAATGGCAACGCAGAAAAACATGTAGTGCATTTTTGCTGCGTTATTGCTGAGTTTATGATGTGTTTTGCGTTTTAAATCTGCCTAGCAACAAGAAAAAAAGCCGCAAATGCATCAAAAATGCAATGCCGAAACAGATCAAATGCAAAGTGCATAGGTGTGAATCAAGCCATTATCTAAAAGAAAAAAAAAAACAAGTGGAAGTGTGAGTTGTCCCTCTGATTCAAAACTGTGTTGTTCCCAATTTTTTTTTCTGTGTATTTCCCATTCTTTGTTTATATTTTAACCCCCATTGTACTCTTTCCCCTTTTTATATCGTTTTTTTATCAAAACAAATAAAATCAGATAACAATAATAATAAACAATTAATTATGATGGTGATGATGAAATGTAGCCGGAATAACAAGTACACGATCTTACCAAAACATTGACCAGATGATCAGAACTCTTTCTTCTGCGTCCCGGAAGCGTCTTCATTGCCATGGAAACCTACCACGTGATTCCTGTCGCCCAATGGAACCTTCCGCCGCCATGCTGTGGTTGGCACTTTTGAAAACTCTCCCAGGACATCAGCGCTGCCCCTTCAAATATCTTCTTGTTCTGCAATCCATTTCTCCGTATTGGATTCACTGATGTTCTGAAGATGTGAGGAGAGTGTACAGGATACACCGTGCCTCCACCGTTGTGCGGTCAGACTTCCGCTTGTAGGGCCATCCAGGGGCGGAAGTCTTGGGCGCTCTAGCCTGCTCCTTGCGGTGTCTATCGTGAAGTGTGGAAGTTGCTGGAGTGTGTGCTGTGTGGGAATGGTCGGTGTGTGGTAGGAGCCGGGTGTTCCAGGTATGGGGGAGAGCGCGGTAGACCGCTCCTCTGCTCAGGTGGTGATGAAGGCGGAGGGGCCCCCAGTGTTCCAGTACTCGGAGGAGGCGGACCTAGAGCTGGACGGTGAGTGGCGGGCTGATGTAATGATCCATGTACGGGGTGACAGCTGGGACAGGACAGACCAGACCCCTCTCCCTGGTCATACTTGTCATGGAGGTCTGTGGATTTCCTCCTCACTATTCTTCGTGACATTGAGAAGAGAAAGGGACATTTTATTGCCATCAGAGTCGTTTCTCTGGAATCGTGTCTATGCTCCCCATGAAGGTTCCCATTGAATCCTATGGTCCTGTTCACACCAGAGCGCCGTGCCGCCAGAAGTCCTTGAGGTTTTTTTGGCGCGGAGTTGTATGTTCTCGGTTCCTTTAAACTTCAATGGGAGCGCCTGGAAAACGTGCGATTTCTTGTCTCTCCTTCTCCTAGGCACATGCTTTCCATTGGTTAAAACAAAAATGCGCAAGTCTGAAAACTCATGTACAGACGCTCATAAAATATGGAAGCTGAAGTGTGGCCCCAGCCTGAGGGCCCATTCGCATATGATCCATGATGCCAGGCGTTGCGTACATGTGGTCTTTGCACTACATGTGATAGTCTACGGACTTCTGAAAGGCCATTATTGCCGGACCGGTCTTATATTTATTTATTTCAGGTACTTTTATAGCTCTGTCAGTTTACGCGCAGCACTTTACATATATATGGTACATTCACATCAGTCCCTAACCCTCAAGGGGTGTACAATCTAAGGTCCCTAACTTACATTCATACACATATTAGGGACAATTTAGACAGGAGCCAATTGACCTACCAGCATGTCTTTGGAGTGTGGGAGGAAACCGGAGTACGTGGAGGAAACCTACGCAGGCACAGGGAGAACATGCGAACTCCAGGCAGGTGGTGCCGTGGTTGGGATTCGAACCAACGACCTGAGTACTGCCAGGCGGAAGTGCTAACCACTAAGCCACTGTGCCGCTTTTATAGTGAGAGCCCATTCATACCTGTGTGACTTGTCATGTGACTTTTAGAACCAAAGTCGGATCCCATGTTCCCCAATAAGTACCATTCATATCTGTGTGACTTCAAGTCACTGCAACGTGACCTGCACTACTTTGGTCTAACTTTCATGCAACTTGAGGGCCATAGACTTCAATGTAAACCCTCCAAAGCTGCATCTGAAGGTTATATATACGACTTTGTACAGCAAAGGCAATCATCCCTGGTCAAAGCCAAAGTCGCACTCATCCAAAGTCGCAATGAGAAGCGCATGATTTTGAAGTCGCTCAAGTGTGAATGGAGCCTAAAACCAAAACGTTTTTTTTTATTGTGTGTAATGCCCCTTTCCCAGGGGGCATATCTAGGGTTACCGCCTCATCTCTTTAAAACCGAACAAATAATAATTACATAAGGGTGAGGTGGCAACCCTAGGCAGATCTGCTGTGCTGAGTGGGGGATCTGTCCGCTGATCAGAAATAGCAGATGGCAGGTCCATTCAGTTTGTGCAGAGTGGATGCTGACACAGCCTGCTTTGTTCTATGAGCAGTTAGGTGTAAACGGCTGTCCCTTTACACCTGACTGCCTTCTGATCCACCTAGAGCAGGGGTGTCAAACTGGCAGCCCTCCAGCTGTTGTGAAACTACAAGTCCCATCATGCCTCTGCCTTTGGGAGTCAAGCTTGTAACTGTCAATCTTGAAATGCCTCATGGGACTTGTAGTTTTGCAACAGCTGGAAGGCCGCCAGTTTGACACCTGTGGCCTAGACATAGGAGAACTGATCTGTTTCTGGTTGTTTTTTGTTTTTGTTTGTTTGTTTTTGTTTGTTTTTTATATTATAGCAGATCAGGTGGATGGGTGTAAATAGACTAAAGCCTGTTTACTCCTGCCAGGCTATAGGAATACAGTCATGGCCAAAAATACTGGCACCCCTGCATTTCTGTCAGATTCCACTACCCCCAGAAAATTGATGCAATTACAGATGTTTAGGCATTCTCATGTTTATTTCTTTTATTTGTATTGGTATGACACAAAAAAGTGGAGAAACAAAAAGCCAAATCTGAAACATTCCATGCAAAACCCCAAAAATGGACTGGACAAAATTGTCTTCTTAAAATTGTAAGAAATAAAATAATTCCAAGTTTGTGATGCTCCTGTAATATGTATCAATAACAGGTGCTGACAATATAGAAATCACACTGGCAACCAGTTAAAATGGTAAAAAATTGACTCAACCTTTCTTTTTTGTGTCTGTGTGCCATATGGAGAAGAGAGAGCAGCAAAGAATTGTCTTGGGATTTCAGAGCAAAATTAAAAAAAAAAAAAAAATTTCAGTCCTCATGCACATTGGGCGTTTTTAATAACGCTGGTAACGTTAGCTGTGTAAAGTCACGTTAAAACGTGAGTTTTTTTTAGCGTTCTTGTATTCGCGTTTTGCCGTGTTTTTTCGTATTTGGATTTTTTAGAGATTTGTTTTTTTTTTTTTACCAAAAAAAAAAAATATTATTTTGGTCAAGCAAACGTCCAAAAAAGCTGGTTTACCGTGTTTTGCTGTGTTGTTCAGCATTAGAGTGTTTTTACAGCTAACAAACTTCTCTAGAAACCCACTAGTTCTGGGGGGTTTTTCCAGCCAAAAAACAGCCCAGCCAAAAAATGTTGATTACAGTCTGTGTGTATGGACATATAGGATAACATATCCACAAAAAATTCCGGTGAGTGGAACGCACGCCGAGCGGTGCGTTCCAGCGGCCATTTTCTGGGATCTGTGGAATGTCTTTCTCTGTGTAGCTGCTGGGCTGTGATGTGAGAGTTCTGAGGAGGCAAAAATAGTTTCACTACTTGTCTGGAAGATGCTGGTTTGAAATAAATATGCCTTTTGAAAGAGAAAAAAATAGTGAACAGCAAAGAGGGCTTAGGATCCCTTAAATTCCTAAAAAGCGTCTCATTCACCTAAATCTGGTGAGTGTATATGATGTTGGTTTCACGGGTGAAAGGTGGAAGCTCTTTTGGTGTATTTGAAGATTCTTTGGAAAAGAAGAATTTCACTTGATATTAATAATCATTTTTTTTCACTAAAAAAAACTTTTTTCACAAAATTTTTTCTAATTGTTTCACTTGATATATATTTCACGGACAAAAAAAATTTTTTTGGTGTTTTCTGTGGACTTTCACTATTTAATTATTTATTATTATGATGCACTTTATATATTGATGGTGTGTAGAGGTCTATGTTTGTGCTGGTTTATTTATTATTTATATAGGATAACATGCTGGGGAGTTTACTAGCTGTAGAAAAAAATGTCAACAGCCAAAAACAGCCGCTGTAAAAATGTCCAGTGTGCATGAGGACTCGCAATCATTTTTATTGTTTTAGTAGGAGAGTTACAAACATTAGTTTAGCACAAGGCACAGTAGATGGCAAAATACAGGGGTTAGACAAAAAAAGCAAACGCTACGTGATTTGCAGGCGTGAAAGTGACCGCATGTTTTGTGTTGAAAGCAGAAGTGATGTAACATTTTTTTTTTTTTTTGCTTTTGCTGTGTAATGAGACACCTAACTAACAGGTGGGAAGCTTCACCTTCATGATTCACTGCGGGCGCTGCTAATAATACAGAGTCATGTCACAACTTACTGAGCTTCAAATAGGGCAAACCGTTGGTGGCGGATTAGCTGGTGCCTCTGTGACTGAAGTTGCCAATTTATTTGCCGTGTCGCGAGGTACTGTATCAAAGGTTGTAACGGCATATACAGTTTCTGGGAAAATGTTGTCTAAGTATAAGCGCAGTCAACGTGGTCAACCGACTGAAAGAGACAAAAGGGTATTGCGCAGAATTTGATAGGGAATAAGAAAACAAGTGTGACAGCAGAGCTCAATCTCTGTCCCGTGAAGACTAAGATTGAGCACTGCAGTCAATTTTGCAGCAGTCACAGAGGCACCAGCTAAGCGGGCCTCATCTTTGAAGCTCAGTAAGCTTTGACATGACTCCGTATTACTAGCAGCGCATGCACAGTGGAAGCAAAATAATGTTACATCACTTCTGCTTTCAATGCGAAGCATGTCGTCCTTTCACACCTGCAAATCATGGAGTTTCCATTTTTTTGGTCTAAACCCTGTTGATGCTGATATACAGTGGGGATCGAAAGTTTGGGCACCCCAGCTAAAAATTTGTATTAACGTGCATAAAGAAGCCAAGGAAAGATGGAAAAATCTCCAAAAGGCATCAAATTACAGATTAGACATTCTTATAATATGTCAACAAAAGTTAGATTTTATTTCCATCATTTACACTTTCAAAATAACAGAAAACAAAAAAATGGCGTCTGCAAAAGTTTGGGCACCCTGCAGAGTTAATATCGTGTACTGCCCCCTTTGGCAAGTATCACAGCTTGTAAACGCTTTTTGTAGCCAGCCAAGAGTCTTTCAATTCTTGTTTGAGGTATCTTTGCTCATTCTTCCTTACAAAAGTCTTCCAGTTCTTTGAGATCTCTGGGTTGTCTGTCACGCACTGCTCTTTTAAGGTCTATCCATAGATTTTCAATTATGTTGAGGTCAGGAGATTGTGAAGGCCATGGCAAAATCTTCAGTTTACGCCTCTTGATGTAATCCCCCCGTGGATTTCGAGGTGTGTTTTAGGATCATTATCCATTTGTAGAAGCCATCCTCTCTTTAACTTCAGCTTTTTCACAGATGGCATCAAGTTACCATTCAAAATTTGCTGAAATTTTATTGAATCCATTTTTCCTTCTACTCATGAGATGTTCCCTGTGCCACTGGCTGCAACACAACCCCAAAGCATGATTGATCCAACCCCATGCTTACAGTTGGACAGAGGTTCTTTTCATTAAATTCTGTGCCCCTTCTTCTCCAAACGTACTTTTGCTTTGCTCATTCCGGCCAAAAAGTTCAATTTTAACCTCATCGGTCCACAGAACTTGTTTCCAGAATGCATCAGGCTTGTCTATATGTTCATTTGCAAAGTTCAAACAATGATTTTTGTGGTGAGGACGTAGAAGAGGTTTTCTTCTGATGACTCTTCCATGAAGACCATATTTGTACAAGTATCTCTTTATAGTGGAA